TTAGGTATCTAGGTGGGGATGTCAAGTAGGCCATGGAATGCATGAGTTTGGAGTTCAGGAGAGAGACCTGGGCTGGAGATACAAATTCAGCTGGTGTCAGGTTTAGATGGTACTCAAAGCCAGGATGAGCTCAGAGACTGATGAGTTCACCAGAGAATGAGTGGGACTAGAAGGAAGAAAAGGACAAGAACTGAGTCTGGGGCACTCCAACATTAAGAAGCATAGAAGTACTTGCTTCTTAAAGAAGAAAGAAAAGAAAAAAACAAACCTAGCAAAGGATACTGAAAAGTCACAGCCAGCAAGGAAAAACCAGGAGGAAGAGGTGGCCGGCCTGGCTTCTGCCTGAGAGAGCAATGTAGAGGTCATTGATAACCTTGAAATAAATATTTTTATGAAGAGGAAGAGGGAAATGAAAAAGTGATTGGAGAGATTTAAGAAAAAATGGGGAGAGAAGACCTGAAGACAGTGAGTACAGACAAATCTTGTGAGGAGTTTGCTCTCAGGAGAGAACATAAACGGAGGGTAGCAGAAGTAGAGTCAAGAGAGAGTTGGGTTTCTTTGTTTTTTAATAATATCTGAGAAATAATGGCATGCTCGTATGGTGGTAGAAATAAAATTAATTATAGAGAAGAAAAAGAAAAACATTGCTTCTGCATATTCTTGAATAGTGGAGAGGGGTTGGGTCTACACTGTAGCAAGAGGGATTTAGATAGGAGCACAGATGGTTCATCTATGTAAGAAAAGGGGAGAAAGAGAATGAGGGAGTGCATACTGATAGGTGGCACGTGTGATACTGGGAGTTGTTTTCGATTGCTTTAATCTTTTTGGTAAAATAGAATTCAAGGTTATCACCTAAGAGCATAAAGGTGGAGGTATTGAGGACTCAAGAAAAAAGGGGGGCCGGCCTGGTGGCACAAGCAGTTAAGTGCACTCGCTCCGCTGCTGCAGCCCGGAGTTTGCCGGTTCGGATCCCGGGCGTGCACCGATGCACCGCTTGGCAAGCCATGCTGTGGTGGCGTCCCATATAAAGTGGAGGAAGATGGGCACGAATGTTAGCCCAGGGCCAGTCTTCCTCAGCAAAAAAAAAAAGAGGAAGATTGGCAGATGTTAGCACAGGCTGATGTCCTCACAAAAAAAAAAAAGAAAAAAGGAAAAGTTTTGAGATAATCACCTGAGGATTGTGACAGTAAGCAGAATAGGAATCTAGAATATGATTGCCTGGTAGTATTAAATAACTACTTCATATTTGTGGTTATAAATTAAAGTGAAACCAGCATAATTATGTGTTTTTTCAAGCCGTGTTCAGATGCACAGCTGCAGGTACAAAATAGGGTGATTTGAATTTACCCAGAGCTGAGATTTTGCTAAGCTAATATGATGAAATAAGCAAGCGCAGAAGAGTCCAGGGTACTTGTGAGTGGTTACAATGATTTGCCATGGAATTTTAACTCAATAAGGAAGGGAGTGTGGGCATCAAGCATAAGAGGGACAGTTAAATGGTGGTCAGATTGAATGGCATAATTCATTAAAAGAATGTATGAGGCTGAAGGATTGCTGAGGTGTGAGTAGTGGAGAGAGTGGACTGGAAAGAGAGGCAGTCATGGTGAAATGTGGATTTGAGATTAAATTTTTTAGAAGAAGGCAAGCAAAAGATACATGAAGAATATACAGTTCAAAAGGAATTATTCAAGGAAACTAGAGAAGTCAGACATAGACTCAAAGAAATTACAGACATGATTGCTCTAAATATAGCTCAAAGAAAACCTTGCAAGGCAATCAAAATAAACAAATGGGTCTACTTCAAACCAAAAAGCCTCTACATGGCAAAGGAAACCATCAACAAAGTGAAAAGACAACCTAACAACTGGGAGAAGATATTTGCAAATCATATATTTGATAAGGGGTCAATATCCAAAATATATAAAGAACTCATACAACTTAACAACAAAAAAACAACCCGATTAAAAAATGGGCAGAGGATCTGAACAGACATTTTTCCAAAAAGATATACAGATGGCCAATAGGGACATCAAAAGATGTTTAACATCATTAATTACTAGGGAAATGCAAATCAAAACTACAAGATATTACCTCATGCCAATCAGAACGGCTATTATTAAAAAGATAAGAATAACAAGTGTTGGAGAAGATGTGGAGAAAAGGGAACCCTCATGACACTGCTTGTAGGAATGTAAACTGGTGCAGCCACTATGGAAAGCAGTATGGAGATTTCTCAAAAAGTTAAGAATAGAACTATCATATGATCCAGCTATTCCACTTCTGGGTTTTTATCTAAAGAACATGAAAACACTAATTCAAAAAGATATATGCACCTCTATGTTCACTGCAGCATTATTCACAATGGCCGAGACAGAGAAACAACCTAAGTGTCCATCAACAGATGAATGGATAAAAAAGATGAGGTATGAATATATATAATGGAATACTACTCAGCTATAAAAAGGGATGAAACCTTGCCATTTGTGACAACATGGATGGACCTTGAGGGCATTATGCTAAGCAAAGTCAGTCAGATGGAGAATGCCAAATACTCTATGATTTCACTCATATGTGGAAGATAAAACAACAACAACAAACACATAGATACAGAGATTAGATTTGTGGTTGACAGAGGGGATGGGGAAGGGGTAAGGGTGATAGAGGTAAAAGGGCACGTGTGTATAGCGATGAATGTCAATGAGACTTTGGGTGGTAAACGTGATGTAGTCTACACAGAAATAGAAATATAGCAATGTATGCCTGAAATTTATATAATGTTATAAACCAATGTTACCACAATTAAAAATTAATTAAATAAATAAAAGAAAGACAATCTAAAGAAAAGGAAGAGAAAAAATTTAAAAACATTTCAGAGGTGAGAGCCATTTGGAGAATGAACACCCAATACAACTAATGTTCAGATATATGGGACAAAGTAGAGAAAATCATACACAATGAAATGATAAAAAACTATAAATATTGTGAAAAAGGTATTAGGAGATATAGAAGATCCAGCATATGTGTAATATGTACTTTTAATTTTAAAAAGTAAATATTTTTAATTCAAAGATAATAAAAAGATGAATATGAGTATTCACGAGGAAAAAGTCACGTCACTTGTAAGGGGACAAAAGCATCTAGTTGGCCAGAGATTTTTCTAGATGAAAACTCAATGTCAGAAACCCTGGAGCAACATCTGCCAAGTTCTGAAGTTTCTATAGTCTCAGAATCTTATACCTGATAAAATTACTCTTGAATTGAAAGAAAACATACACTTTCTCAAATGTGCAAGAAATTAGGGACCACAGGCATCAGGAGCTCTTCTTGATTAAAAAAAAAAAAAAAAACAATTACTGGAAAATAAAATTCACCCAAGGAAATAATTAATAAAAATTAAACTCAAGGACAGAAAAGATAAAGATATTTGCTTATCATTGATTCCATTAATATACAACAAAGTATAAACAACTATGGATATTATGATTTCAGAGCAGAATGCAAATTTTGTAATCCCTTAACATATAAAAATAATAATATTACTAACAAAAATAAGATGTATGAGAGGAGGAAAGGTGGGAAGAAGTATAAAAATGATAAATTTTCTCATCTTTTCTATTAACAAATCAATAGATAAAATCTGAAATTGAAATATGTGGTTAAAAATGGACTCCAATCTCTAATTCTTTTAACATATTCTTTTCTTAAGTGTAAAGGATTCTTTTAGGAACCAGCATCTCCTGTGCTGAAGAATCAAAAATAACCTCATTTCACATCATTTCATTAAAGTAAACTTAGCCTGAATATTAGTGTTTTAAAATGCTGTTATCCTGTATTGTCTTTCTATTTTTGTCTCTCTAACTTCTCATCAACAGAGAGAGAGACAGAGAGACTTGATCTGACATGCTTTTCACCAAATGTTAATAGTGATTTGGGGAGATTAATATGATTTGGGATTTTCTTTCTACTATCTTCTTTTTAGGTCAAGAATTTTTGTAAGCATATGTGCATTTTATATGAATATAGTGAGCTAATATGCATTTTATTTAAAAATTATACTTTTTAAAAATTAAATCAAGCACCTTGTTTCATATAACCTAAAAATGTAGGGTAATATGAAACTATTTTAGGCCTCTAAAGAGGAGTAATGCTGAGTAATCAAAACTATACAGAATAAACTTATTAAAACGGAAGAGTAAAACACAGTGTTTGAAGAAATATTGGGAAACTGGCATTCCTTTTTTTTTGTTTTCTTTTGTTTGTATGTTTTTTTGGTGAAGATTAGCCCTGAGCTAACATCTGTTGCCAATCCTCCTCTTTTTGCTGAGGAAGATAGGCCCTGGGCTAACATCTGTGCCCACTTTCCTCCACTTTATATGTGGGACTCTGCCAGAGCATGGCTTGATAAGTGGTGCCATCAGTCTGCACCTGGGATCTGAACCCACAAACTGAGTGGGATCTATTTGTGAAATTACTTACTCTTGAAATGCAACCAATTTTGAGCCTCTTTCTTGCCCTTGTAGAGCTGAATGTATTTTACTTGCAAATTTGATAAATGTAATTTCCACAATTCTCACATGAATATAAAAAATAATCTTACATTGAATTAAAGGTGACCCTACCCTCTCTTCCTGCTCAATCTCTACCATTTGTAATTCTATCCACAACCTTCTCCCCAAATCCTAATACACTTTGGATCCGTACCCTTCCCTTGATTACGTCACATGTAGAATTTATGCCTATAATATATTTCCCTTGCACTCAGAACACAAACACAAAGTGAGACACAGAAAATCATCATCTTTCCCAGAATATTGAGTTACCCTTTAACAGGACTTTTTTATAAAATAACGACGAATAGTGTCAAGGCTCAGATAATTTTTAATTTGTATCAGAATCTCTTATACCATGGGGAATTCTGGTACCTAAACGCACTACATATACTCATTTTCAGTTTCATTCTCCAAAAGCATCAACTGAAGATTTTTAAGTAACTGCCTTACCCAGTGAGTTTGATGGCATGTGTCCGAAGCTTTCGATATTTTTCTGATTCTTCGTTTGTGCTGGTAACATGTCTATATATGCCCGTCTTATAATGGAAGAAATCCTCATGGACTTGCATTATGGCTAAAATAAAACCCAACAGGATAAATGACACGGTTTTAAAGAATTATCTTTAAAAACCTCCAGAAATTCTCATAGAATAATCGATGGGTAAAATTGCTAGGAGTAGAATTTAAGAAGGAATTTTGCAATTCAGCCTAATTTTCTTTCCTGCTTAATTTAATTGGCTGCAGTATTTTCTTGTTCTCTTATAAAAACAACTTTAGCTATTTAGAATATTACTTAAGTACACACTATACCTTTAAATCACCATCTATTCTTAACTGACGGAAGCACTATTACCAGGAATGGAGCCCCTTGCAGCAAAGGCCCACTACCTTTGGCTAGTAATTGCTATTTCTCCATTAACCTCGGGCTTCCCTACAAGCCTCTTAAAACTCCAATTAAGATAGTAGCAAAGGGTGAACCTAGCAAACCGGGCTTAAAGCAATTGTCCTTAATCCTTAGAAGTAAATACAAACCTTCCCTTGGTGAATTTGAATAAAAAGCAAACCCTTGGCAAAAGAATACTCTGACAAGATTTCATCCTTTCAGCTCAGGAGAGCTAAGCCAATGTTGTATTCTTTAGAAAGTCAGAGCCTATACTTTATAAAGCTCTCTATTCCCTCACCTAGATTGCTTCTTTTCTGTATTGTGTGCTGCTCTGTTGACGGGCTTGGACAATTCAGGGGGAAGAGTCTCAACTTCTCTTCTGGAAGACGTGAATTGAAAATATTTTTAGTTGGGACTAGATAAGTATACCTCGATAACTGTGTACAATGCTCATCTATCTTAGTTTGATGCGCATTTTAAATAAAATAAGAACTAAGGTCACTAGCATTTAATAGATCCTGAAATGAAGCTTCTACTCCAAAGTCAAATATAATTTTTTAATGTTCCACTTTTTATTTCATTTTTTAATGTTCCATGCCTTTTCTGATGTTGCTGAAATATTCTTAAAATTCTTCTTTATCTACTTTAAAACACATTCCCATAGGATTTTAAGAATGTATATAACTGTACTCTAGGCAGATCTTGGCTTTTGTTCTCTTTCCAGCACCTAAACTTATTTTTAATTCCACACATTTCAGAAGAATGCATAGTGTTATTTATTCAGCATTTTATTGCCTTTTACATTCTTTTGTACTGAGAGAGGGGGGAAATGCTGTATGTTAGCCCAGGCAGCAATGTGCAGCCAATCACGTTGCATCGACAGCAAGATGAGTCAACCAGCATTTATAAAAATGTGACGATATTGCTAGTGGTTTTTCTTTTCTATAGGCACACTGACTCCTTTAGTTCTTCTCAACCCTCTCTAAGCACCGTGAATAAAATGTACTCTTCATTGCTGAAAAACACTGCCAACTAAAGAAACATGGCTGAGAAGTCATCACAATTAACTTGAAGGTGGCTCCTTCCTTCAGTTTCTGACACCAAGACAGACTTGATGAACCCATAAATATATAACTATATAAGTTATTGCAGTGCAATTTTACTTTTGGAAAACTGCAGCGAACTTATTACACAGAACTATAATGTGCATGAGGACAGGCGGTAGCCACCTCCATTAGGGCTTCTTTCTAATGGCTCAGGCTAGCAGTAGGTAAATTCTCAACAATCATTTGTTAAATGGATGTTGAATAATTTGGATTTCAACTTTATTATTTTCAAATTCGAAATCTTTATTTTTGGTTCATTATATGAAGTTCATGAACATTCAAGTATTTGACCGTAAAATAAACCTAAGATGTTCTCAGTTTTAAATAATTATGATCCAAATTTCTTTTGACTGATTAAAGAAAGAAAAAGAGAGAGAAACTTGAAACAGTAATACAATGATTTGAAGTTTCAGAGAGGTTAAATAACTTGCCCAAAGTCATTTAAGTAACAAATGTCAAAGTTGGAATTTTGAATTCAGCCTCGAGTACAAATGGCTGTGCTCCTTCAAATTAGTCACATAAACGCCACTTAATACGTCACACATTTAACAATTGAACATACATTAACATTGAACATGCATAAGTCATACATTTAACAAATGAATAGTCAACAATTCATACACATGAATTCCCCCACTCTTATAATAGCCAACAAAAATTACACAATAGTAAGGAGAAAAAAAATTCTCATTTTTGTCAGGTTTTGTGTAAGGCCCCAGGATTTTTAAAATCAAATTCAGGACATATTTAGCATAAGTTTTCGTTTCTCATAAATGTTAACCAGTGATAATGATAAATACAAATTCTTCCAACACAATTTTAAACTCTATGGTTCCTCTAGATGTTGAGCCAAAATCAATTAAATGGTCGGCATTCAGAAAAACAAAAACAAATACTGGCCAATAGTTCCTTAAGTATACATCAAATGTTTTAAATTTAATTTTTCATTTAAATTTATTTGGTTAATTTGAATTTATTTGATTTATTCCACTGCATGGATAATATATTTTGGGCATTTCAGTGTTCACAACCTGAATTTCCATTTCAGGCCTCACTGGATCTGTTCTTCCACGGACTTCAAGGCAATGTTTAGTACAGGGATATACGCTGTGAATTTATCTTTATCCATGCCCTTGGTGCAAAATAAAATTCAATATGTAAGCAGAGAAACTATGTGTCAGAGATAATAACATAAAAATCAAAGTCAACATACAGTAAGTCAGTATATTATTTTCTTTCTTTTTTTTACTTTGTGTGTGTGTGTGTGTGTGTGTGTGTGTGTGAGGAAGAGTAGCCCTGAACTAACATCTGTTACCAATCCTCTTTTTGCTGAGGAAGATTGCCCCTGGGCTAACATCTGCACCCTCCTCCTCTACTTTATATGGGACGCCACTGCAGCATGGCTTCATAAGTGGTGGGTCTGTCCACGCCCAGGACCCGAACCCGCAAATCCTGGGCCGCCAAAGCGGAGCGCGCGAATTTAACCACTGTGCCACCTGGCCAGCCCCAGTATATTATTTTCTTATTTACTGTTAGTTTACTATCATAACAAGTTTACAAAATTGATCAAAATAGAAAGCCTTTTATAAAACACAAAAATCATACTGGCTTATTTGATTTATTTCGAGCTTATCATAAAAGGAAAGTATCTACTTTGTTTCTACTGCTAAACCTTGATTTTTTTTTTCAATCCATTACCTAAACCATTTAAACTGAAGAGGAGAAAATTTCTGACACTATGTATGATTCTTAAATATGACTGAACAATTAAATGAGCTCCATCACTTAGCATTTCATATTTGACTGTCTATTTGGTCCGTGATCATTTTGGAAAGATTTACCAGACTTGCATGAAATGTCTCATTAATATTTAAGAATTTAATTTATGAACGAGTCTATCCTCTTAAAATGGCAGCTCATGAAGTTATTAGGTGAGCATATCTCCTATAATTGCACTGATCTTAGAACTGTTGAACCTTATGAATACTCTAAAAGTAAAAATTTTCTTTTGTTTATTAAGCTCCTTTTACATGAGCTAAAATGTAACGTTGTTTATAAAGGAATAAATAAAACACAAAATTATTTCATTCAAGCTTACCTTGAACTGGTCCGTTTTGCATGATTTCTCTCATTATCTCAGTTTCCTGGAAGGAAAAATATCAATGAGCATCATTCCTGTTATCAGAGTACACTAAATCTATTGTTTGGTGTATAATGTTAGGTGTTGTACAATCAGCTTAGGAGTTATACAACCCAGTGTGCCTTGACTTCTTGCAATTTACTCTTAATCACACTTTGAAATTCTCACATGTGAAATGCCGTATTGATGAAGTTACTACAAACAAGACGCACCCATTTGTTTCACTGACTTTTACCACTGATGATAGTTTTGGAAGGGAAAGGAAATATAACAACTTTTTATGATCATAAAGAAAAAATAATTAAGTGAAAACCATGTTTTACCTGTGGAGATTAGTGTCATCTCTCTCCTTTTGATCAAAGAGCCATCCCAGATGATTGTTTAGTGAGGTTTCTCAGTGTAGTTTTAGCATACAAATATTTCTGTGTTGCCACCCAATGTCTAACACAGCTGTTAGTATGAGACACGTGATTCATTCATTCATTCATTCATTCATTCATTCATTCATCTGTGCACATGGATCACAGAGTACATACCAGAAACTAGGTAGAAACAAATATTAACCCTTCACCTACCCTCAAGGTATTTGCATTTTGGTGGAGTAGACAGACAGTAACATTACTAATTGCATTATGATATAATAAGTTTTATTACAGAGACAAGCATAAAGTGCCATGGATACAAACAAGAAAGGGAAATTAATTCTGCCTAGGGGTCAAGAAAACTTCACAGATAAAATGAAGTTTTGACCTGGGTCTTGACACAAGTGTGGGACTTTACCAGTGGAAATAGATCGGGATAAGCATTTGGGTCAGAGGAATCTGGCTAAGTAGAGAAGTAAGGAAGAGCATGGTCTACCTAGGGAGCAGACCATAGTCCCAAACATCAGAACACTATGGGCAGGTGGAGGGGGTGGATGCTGGCAGGACATGAGGCTGTAAAAGAAGTAGAACCAAATCATGAAGGCCTGTATGTCATGGTAAGAAGCCTGGACTGTCTTCTGCAGGTAATTGGAAGCCACTGAAGGTTCAGATATTCTGAAAGTGGGAAGACCTGCGTAACACTGACATGATGAAGTAATATTTGCCTCAGCTTTTAATATGACAAGCTGGAATCCACGGGAGTCCTTTTCCCATTATAGCTATGTCCACTTCAAGCATTTTGTGGGATAAGGCAAAGGATTGATAAAATGACCTACTAGCACAAAAAACTCAATGGAAAGGGTTTGATTTAGCTTTTATTTATCAAATATATATACATATATATATCAAATACATATATATATATAACATAATTTTAAAACTCTATATCCATGGGCATTTTTAAATTTAAGCCAATCACTTATACTGCCAATATTACAACGATCAGAAGTCATACCCAAACTGAAGTCTTCAATGGACACTTCAAGAATACCAAAAATTATACCTGACAGCATAGCATTATTTTAGAGTATAATAGTTTTAAATAGTTTTTAAATATGTAGTTTTAATAACAGCAGAGCTATACATTTTTTAGAAATTCAACCATCGTTAATTCTTGTCATTTAGACTTACGTTGGAAGAGACTCTATATGGAGGAGAACATTGGTAGATCCTATTAGATTTCTCGAAGCTGTTGGGACACGGCTTTGTGGCATGACGTTTTCCCCGCGCATCAGACCTACTTGCCATGGCACAGTCATCCTTAGTAGCATTTTGGTCCTTGAAAAGTGGATAACATGCATGGGATACCAGTCTATGAGGAATAAGAAAAGTAATAAAGGTAATACTTAGGAAAGTGTCATAATATCCTATCTATATACTATTTTACTGAATTAAACATTCATAAATTATTCTGGCCACTTACATGTTTAATTTCAAAATGTTGACTGACTCCAACAAGCAGCTCAGAGACATTACACTCCCCGCCCCCCACTTATTTCTTCATTACAATTTTAATAATCTTGCTTCAATCTACTTTAATAAATAATTCTACCTACAGTATAGAATTTCCTGAAGATAAAAAGTGACCATCAATAAAATCTGTGGTAATATTAATAGGAGAAGGACTCCTTCATTCTTTGTCTATAATTATAACATAGAAGAGCCAAATTTAATGTGAAAAAGACAATAAATTTTATTATACTCGGGGTATTCTGATAAATTATCTAAGTTCTAGAATTAAAGGTTTTTTTCATACTTTTATTAAGTTATAGATATCTTCTCATAAGACTTCATTTATTATGTGTCTGTAGCTCATGATATTTTGGGAGAAATAGAATGTACTAATACAGTATTAAAAGTTAATAAAGTGGAAAGCTATCAGATATATACATTATACAAAAAGTAAAGAGAATAATTTTGGTTTCTGATTTTGAAACTGAATATAGAAAAGTATAAATGATTTGGCTCCAAATCTAACATAATTCATTGAATATAGAAGCAGATAGAAAAGAAAATAAAACAATGGAATTGGTTGTACTGATATGGAATGTTGAACTGGCCATTGAAGTATCCAATATGATCACTTCAAGAAAATTCATTAGTGTCCAAAACAGTAAGAGAATCTGAACAAGGAGCATGATGAAAGCAAAGCCATTAAAAACACCAAATACTTTTAAAAGGTCTTGCATTCAATACATTACTTTGGGATAATTAGTGGGGTGAACTGAGTTGTGTGCCCCACCTAATTCATACGCTGAAGCCCTAACCCCCAATTTGATGGTATTTGGAGATGGGGCCTTTGGGAGATAACTAGCTTTAAATGAGATCATGAGGGTGGGGCCCTCATGATGAGATTAGTTCCCTTATGAGAAGAGGAAGAGAAACTAGAGCTCTCTCTCTGCCATGTGAGGACACAGAGAGAAGGTAACCCAGCAAAAGGGCTCTTGCCAGGAACTGAATCAACTAACCCCTTGACCCTGGGCTTCTTAGCCTCCAGAACTGTGAGAAATAAATGCCTGTTGTTTAAGCCACCAGTTTATTGTATTTCATTATGTTAACCTGAGCAGACTAATACAATGAGATTTAGTTGGGTCTTAAGGATAATTTTTATTTTTAAGCTCCTAAAGGGCTTTAATTTTTGTCATTGCACAAAACAGAAGCCAATGAAGCAGTACTACACCAGGAAGGTATCAGCCCAAGTGGTCCACCCTAAGCACCACCTTATTAGGCAAAACATACGAAAAAAAGTTTTTTAAGAAATGTATTGCCACCCATCAATATCTAAAACCCTCTCTTTCATAGCATCTAACTATTCTATAGCAGACCCAGAGCACTCAATGGACTAGGAAAGAACAGGAAAGCAATATATATGTATGCTACTAGCTATCAGCTGCAGGTTCCTTAGCTTAACAACTCAGCCCTTAAGTAGATTGGCTCTTATAATAGACACGAGGATGCTGTGTGGGTATCAGAGAGTATCCCACATGAGAGTAAAGAAATGCAACCTGCCTTTTCTCATCAAATGGGATGGGGACAATTAATGAAATTGATGAGCTGAGGCAACTATAAATTACTTCTTTATTTTACTCATATTAATCTAATTTTACCTGCCATTATCTATTCACCTACCTGAGTTACTGAAAGATTCAACAGAGGTACCAGCAATATTAATGACTCTATTCCCTCCATGGGGACTCAGTAGAACCATTTGGCTCAGAGCAACAAAGAGACAATGCTTACTTGAGTCTTCCTATTAATTTAGCTAGGAATGCATACATTCTTCAAATAATTGTTTCCAATAGCTTATAATTTCAGTAGATAGCAAATATAGTATATATTTAAATATAATACATATATTTATACAGATGTAGCATATATATTTTTATATTTTTTGGTAAAAATCTTGAAATATGTTTTTTTCCTTATTCTAACCCCAAGCAGCACTCATAAGAATCCTAGAAACACATGTTGGGCAGCTATTTACCCACGTTTTCTCAGGTACCACCAAGCCCTATCAATGCTTCCACTGTTGCATCCATGACAGTCCTTGGCACAGCAAGAGATCAAATTCTGAGGGGATAGATTGGCTGTGTATCGCCCGTTGGACTGAATTGCTATTCGGTCGGCTGCCACACCTGTTTCAAATAGAATATTAATTAATATTCAAATAGCACATGTATTTCTAATTATTTACACAGCCCTTTTCGTTGGAACCCTAAACTAGTCTTCAAAATTTTATGTAATTTAAAATGAAGGCCAAATGTCATTAATATCTCTATATATTCCAAGAAGTTCAAATGTGTAACAATTTTAGTCATAACTTTTGTCTGATTTTGGTATTGCTCTATTGTTCTATCAATTTCAACGACTTTTCTGTTTCTTGTTCCTTTCATACTACATATACTTCTGAATTCTTCGTTAAGAAATCTGTCAAGTGAAACTCCTTGAGGGCAAGAGCCATATCTTACTTATATTGTATCTCCTGCACCTGGAAGAGTGTCTTACATACAGTCATGGATAAATATATGTTTTTTGAAATGAATGTAACTAAACTAAGTAAATCAGAAAAACTGATCATAGAAATATTAATTGGAAATTCATCCATATTAATCTGATATACTAGAATAAATTGAATCTGTGGTTTTTAAACTGGCACCTAGTTTCACAACCCAGGAGACCATTCTTAAGCTAATCTAGACTAATATGAATCTATCTTATAAAATATCTAAAAGCTACCTAGCATACTTTTATGCTTATAATATTCTAGAAAATTATATAATATATAATTATAATATATAAATTTATTGAGGAAGAGTGGCCCTGAGCTAACACCTGTTGCCAATCTTCTTTTTTTTTTTCCTTTTTCTCCCCAAAGCCCCAGTACCTAGTTGTATATCCTAGTTGTAGGTCCTGCTAGTTCTTCTATGTGGGATGCTGCCTCAGCATGGCTTGATGAGCAGTGAGCAGGTCTGCACCTAGGATCTGAACTGGCGAACCCCCAGGCCGCCAAAGCGGACCACGCGAACTTAACCACTATGCCACCGGGCCAGCCCCTATATCATACAAATTTATATACATACATAGGATTATATAAATAATTTCCTAGCATGGTTTTTGTTAAATCAGTTCATTCCTTTCCCCAACACATATTTATTGCCCACTACTAGGAGATAGGCGCTGTACTAAGCACTAGAAATTACAATGATGAACAAAAAATACGAGAGTCATAATTCTTCCCTCCTAGAATAATAGACTAGGGAAACTAATCTACCAGTAGCATAAAACTATACCTGTTACCATTTTAATCATAACACCATGATAAACTAATACAAGTAAGGAGATTATGAGAATACGGGGGTGGCTCCATTTTGGTACAGATTTTTGATTGTTGTTGGAAACTTGGTATAGTCTCATTCTTGATGTTTAATCTCTTACCCTTTTTTAAATAAAGGCAACAAAGTCATAACTTTTCATCTATCCATCCAGTTTTCTCAGAAGTTATAGTTTTTGCTCATCAAAATTGTCTGTGTACTGGAACCCCTCAAGGTGTTAATTTAGAATTATTCTAAAATAATTCATTTTAAAATAATTCATTTACAAATGTATTTCTGTGTATACGTGGTTTTTATGGAACTATAGCATATGTATAATTTTGTAGCGCAATTGCTGACACATTTTAGACACTCAGTATGTGTTGAATCTATAACCTCCTACTTCCTTCTCAAGTCCCATCTATTATTGTCCTAGGATATGTTTCTTAGGAGCAAATGACATTATACTACCACCTCTACTATTCTCAAGAAAATAATTTCCTATGTATTTCATAAAAGAACATAGAAATTCTTTGACGCTTTGACTTTCAATATAGGGGTTAGGAATCAAATATAAATTTTTAAAATGTTGGTGTAACTATTTTTTGGTTCAGGAAATACCTTTATAATATAGAAAAAATAGTTAAGGAGTCAGAACCCTGGCTTCCAGGATCATTTCTGAGACTTCTTGGCTTTTAGCTTTGGGTAAGTCACTTCACCTATTTGTGCCTCTATTATAAAACCAAAGGCTTGACAGAGGTGGCCTCTAAGATCCCTTCCAGCCCATGCATCTAAAGATTTCAACTGAAGGATAAGTGTTTTAAATTCCAATGGTATGCAATATGTTGCTCTTATATAGACATTTCTGAATCTTAGTGAAGGTTTAATCCACATTCATTTGAAATACTTAGAAAAGGTCAGAAGATTTGAGAATGACGCAGTTCAGAAAATTGTTTTCCACTCTTTTTTAAAACTTTTACTGGATTTTACCTCTGAGACACACTTTATTATTTTCCCTGCTCATTTTATTCTGTCTCCAAATTTGCTCTGTGGCATGTTATCACTCCCACCATGCCAAACTCCCTCACCTCTTCAGCTCTTGACATCTTGCTTGAATTTTATTTGGCTGCATAACTACTTTTTTATATATGTGTATATTTTTAAAATGTCTTATTTAATTTTTAACTTTTAGCTTCTTTGAAAGACAATTTTTCTTATTTTAACTGCTACTTCCTGATATAATTTTCTAGATCTTTAAGAGAACCTAGTTTATTCTGTTCTTTACTTAACACACTCAAAAATAATAGCATCAGCCTGATTTGCCACACTGAGTACATAGGATACAAAACCGTGTCCTCTGAAACCACAAAAGTATTGAAAACACTCTCTCTGGTGTTTTGGTGAATTAAGTAGGAGGACAAATCCTTCAGCCCTGTGCTGAGCCATCTGTGGGGCTGTGACTTGGAGACACCAAAATACACCACCCAAATCAGTCTAGCAAGTTCCTCTCAGTATTTCACCACCAATATCTTTGCTTAGACATCTTCAGAAATACTGGTCTAGCTTAAATTTAAGGCAAAATTCTTATATATATCACTTAGGAGGGTTAACACATTAACTGCATGAACATAAAATGACAAATGATTTTTCTGATTAAATCTCTGTCCACCTATCTGAAACAGGGCTCAAGAGGTCCCCATGTGGATCCCTAATGCATTGAAGACAAACATCAGATAGCCAGAGAGTATTTATACTGGGGGAGCAGGCAAGAGAGACGAAGCCACTCCAGAGATGGGCTTGGCCAACGCTATAGTTCTGCCAAAGGCAACATTTTTAGAATAAACTAGCTAATGCTATGAAGTAATGACATTTAGACAAAGACATCAGCACTTTTCTGTCCCAAGGAGTGTGACCCTTCAGAGCTGGCTTCTCTAAGAGCCTACGTACTTATTTCACAACGCTTTCTGTGCGTACACCGTTTTTGAGCACTGTTGGAATTACCTTCAAAGCCTAGAAAGTAGTTTTATAAGATCTTTGATAGTTGCCAATCAACATAATGCTTGGTTTGATTTAATTGCTGGAGGACAACCAACACTCCTTTGAGGATAATTTGGAGACCAAATCTTGGGATTAACCTGAGTATTGATTTACTAGATTTGTGAAATTATACGAAAGTAGCTATAAAAAAGGCATTCCTTACATTTTTGAAGTAACAGCAACACTAATTTGGAAGCTACTCTTATTAAAAGATCAGTTATATCACTTTAGAGTCAGAACCTATATATTTACTTTCATTTAAAATGAGATAAAACCCATGTAAATCCATTATCATTTAGTTCTTAAGTTCTACTTTACATCAAATTAATTTAATAATTAAATTTATTCTTGCAAATCTTATAAAGAGAAAAGAACATAAGAACTATATGGCTGTGTGTATATGTGTATTAGGATTACAGATGATATTATGGATGAAGAGGAGCCTCTAGTCTTCTTACTATCTGGCCTTAACTTTCATAGGACAAACAAATTTTGGCAACTTTTTTTTTGTTGCTCTTTTGATTTACTCTCTATTTAAAATTAGACTCTAAAAATAAAGACCAATTTTTGGACTAAAAATGGATTTTTATAAAATCTTCAGGTTATATTCTCTGGTCAGAATAAGATTTTATTTTAATTGACCAAATGTTAACGTTTAAATAGTCTAAATTTAAAAGCCTTTAATTACTTTCCCAGGCTCTAGAGTCAAAGGCAAAATTTATAAGGAAGTAATTAAAATGACTTTATTACTTGCAGTGGAAAATGCCCAAGATGCAGCACAATTTCTTTGATCCAATGGGCTATGAGTCCATCCAGGCCACTTATAAGAAGAAATAAAAAACTCTGGAAGATCAGTTGTTGCAGGTAAAGAAGCCTAAAGAAGAAGAGGCATGCGTGTCAGATTTTTTTCAAATGTATCCCAATAACCATTTTCATAAGAAAATGTCATGCCCTTTTATAACATTTATAACAATTTTTGAATTATTTTGTACATTTAAATTTTCTGAATGACATCCTTGAAAAGCATTAATTATGTAGGATTCCTATTTAACCATGTTTAAAAATGACAATTCAATGCGGGGAATCACAACATAGTGCAAAATCATAGGAACAATACAAAGAATGCTTTTGCTTGGGGTACCATAAAGTGCAATCATTTCAGCCAACGTTTCCGTCATCTTGCATCAGAGTTATGGTCATCCATGTGAAAGACTACATGGTGTTATTTAAATTTGGTCTCATAAATAATGTTTACTTTTATGTCTTTCCTATGTTGAAAAAAGCGGGTGATTCTGATGTGAATTTAATTTTGAAATGATACATTTGTGGCAACTATGCATTAACACACTTGGAGCCCCAAGGAACACCAATTTTACACCAGCTACTGGGAAACAAAACTGAGATGAATTGGTTGATTTTTATAAATCCTTGAAGATTAGAAAGGACTTCAGGACGTGTGTAATGCCAGCTGTACAACACCATGATGTCTTCGGAGCCCATGGTAAAGCCCTGACAGAGTCAATTTCAGCTGCTGTCTTTCCAAGAAAGCAAATTAAATGTTGTGGACCTTGCTGTGTTCATGTCACTCAAAGAAAATCTGAAACACAGTACCCTATTTCTTTCTTTTTTTTTTTTTTTGTGAGGAAGATCAGCCCTGAGCTAACATCCATGCTAATCCCCCTCTTTTTGCTGAGGAAGACCGGCTCTGAGCTAACATCTATTGCCAATCCTCTCCTTTTTTTTTTTTCCCCAAAGCCCCAGTAGTTAGCTGTATGTCACAGCTGCACATCCTTCTAGTTGCTGCATGTGGGATGCGGCCTCAGCATGGCCGGAGAAGCGGTGCATCAGTGAGCGCTTGGGATCTGAACCCTGGCCACCAGTAGCAGAGCAGGTGCACTTAACTGCTAAGCCACGGGGCCAGCCGCCCTATTTCTTTTCCAAACTTTTCAAAAACTGATAAATTTCACTTACATAAGTAATCAGGACTCCAACCAAATAAGGATTTGGTTATTAATTTTTTATCGCTTATGCATACTCATACATTCACACACACACATCATTTTTGAGAGTGCTTTAAAGTTTGCAAATTGTTTTAATACTCAGTATTTTCCTTTATCTTCTCAATAGCGCTACGTGATATAATTAGGGCAAATATTCACTCTATTTTATGAATGAGGAAACAAACTTCTAAAAGTTAAATGACATGCTAAGGTCTCTCAGTGAAAGAAGAAACACCCCTGGGGCTGGCCGGGTGGTGCAGTTGTTAAGTTTGCATGCACTGCTTCAGTAGCCTGGGTTTCGCAGGTTTGGATCCCTGGTGAGGACTTACACATCACTCATCAAGCCATGCTGTGGCGGCGTCCCACATACAAAAATAGAGGAAGATTGGCACAGACGTCATCTCAGGGACAATCTTCCTCAAGCAAAAAGAGGAAAGTTGGCAATAGATGTTAGCTCAGGGCCGATCTTCCTCAAAAAACAAACAAAAAAACAAAGAAGAAGAAACACCCCTGAAACTATACCTAGGTTTGACAATTCTTAACACTATGCTCCATTTATCATTTCCCTTTATCAGAAATACTTTATCAGAAATATGTGGATGCTTTGCAACAGAAGTAAAATGTCTATAAAAGCTAAAATTTTACTTATTTAAAAGTTTTATGATTGTGCATTGAACAAGTTAGACTACTAATCCAATATCTTGCAAAAAAAATACTTCTGACAAGTATATGATAGCTTCAAAGAATAAAGGAAAATTTAAAATGCACATGTCTGCTTGAAAGAGTATCCATCCAAAATATTTATAAATTTAAATTTTAATGTGAGAGTTCAGCTTTGATTTATAGAACAATTATCACCTGATAAGAAAGTTATTAATGGGGCTGGCATGGTGGTGTAGTGGTTAAGTTCACGCACTCCGCTTCAGCGGCCCAGGGTTCGCAGGTTTGGATCCTGGGCTCAAACATACACCACTCATCAAGCCATACTGTGGCGGCATCCCATATATAAAATAGAGGTAGTTGGGCACAGATGTTAGCTCAGGGCCAATCTTCCTCTTTTTGCTGAGCTAACAGATGTTAGCTCAGGGCTAATCTTTCTCACCAAAAAAAAAAAAGAGAGAGAAAGTTATTAAATCCTGAGTTCTATTACCAAAAACACTGCTAATTAGATGATGGAAGAAAAATGCCGAAAATGTCAAGCAGATCACTGTGGAGTGCCTTGGTGATAACTTGAAGAGCAGTAACAGAAACTCAGGTGATTTTAGATTCCTAGGCCATTAGATTAGCCACACTGCAGAACCTTAGTATTGGAGCAGAATAAATTTACTGCCCTGAGCAGATAGTTTCAGAGATATAGATGAACTCTCCAAAGGAGTCTTTCTAATTGGGACAGAAATACACATATCTTATGCATTACTCATACCTTCCAATTTTATTATTATTGGCTTATCAGTATGCTTTTAAGCCTTTATAATACTAAATCACCTCAAGTTTCCAGAAAAATAGGTGGAGTATCAATTGTTATTTTAATTTATCACTTTATAATTCCAATTTCATAACATAGCTGGGTTATTTCCCTTCTGCTCTTTTGAAGCAGTAAGGATATAACCATTACTTCAAACACATTTCAGCAGGGTTGAGTTATTTAGAATTTGACTTCCACATTCCAAAGCCTACCCTTGTCCTTTGCACATGGGAGGTATTCAATAAATATCTGATAATAATGAGGTGACACATATCTATCTGGTAGATTTCATCTCTTAACAAAAATCATTTTTTCCCCTGTAGGCATGCTAAGTTGAATTATAATAACAGCATGCATTTGATGCTTTTATGATTTATTGTTTAAAAATAAAAAATATGAATGGCTAATCCTTCTCAATAAGGCAATAGAGAAACAACAAGCAAAATGACATTTTTATTGAAAATATGTTTATCAACCCACTAAGCCAGATCAATTCATGAAGCTCATCTATTGGATCTGTCAGGATTTTTACCACCTATTTAACATTGCTTTTTCTAAAAATAAGCCCATATGATTTGAGGCCCAACAGACACATATAACCTTGTAATTTTGTTTGCCTTATGGTATCAGATAATCTGATCTAATGAAGAATGAGCAAATTTCATACCCCATTATTCCATAATTATTGCATTCCCCTGTAAAGTAAGAGTGTTTTTTAAGAGCTTATAAATAAAGGCAAGCATCACAGAATAACAGCTTTTAGGAAGTGGTAATAGGTCTGGCTTCAATGAATGATACTTTTTTTTTTTTCAAAGGATAGCTTAATAAAGCAAAATAATCAAGAGGATCAGCTGAGAGTGACAGAAATTCCAAAATGACAGTGGCTTAAATAAGATAGAAATTTATTTTTTAAAAAGATTGACACTATTACTTGGGGCCGGCCCGGTGGCATAGTGGTTAAGTCCATGCACTCTGTTTTGGCAGCCCAGGGTTCACAGGTTCAGATCCCGGGTGCAGACCTACACACCTTATCAAGCCATGCTGTGGCAGGTGTCCCACATATAAAGTAGAGGAAGACGGGCACAGATGTTAGCTCAGTGCCAATCTTTCTCAGGAAAAAGAGGGGGATTGGCAACAGAGGTTAGCTCAGGGCTAATCTTCCTCATCAAAAAAAAAAGGATTTACACTATTACATATGTGCATTTTTAATTCTTTTAATTGTAATGTTTAAAAAATTTCAGTCATAATCTAATTATATTTCCAAATTAACATTAGTCAAATTTGAGGTTAAATTTGAACAATCTCCCTGCTTCAATATTTCCATTTAGAAATCAGAGATTAAAGATATTGTGAACAAATATAAGAATTAAATGCAATGGTGAACACTGGAGAATTTTTTACAATAATTCCTGCATTTATTTGAATCAAAATCTCTAAAAGAGTAATGCAAACATAATCACAGAGCAACTTGAGAACAAACTAATCAAATTCAGGACATTCTGGACATTCTTAAAAGGAGCTCAAATCTACATAATATCCACTATGTGAATAAATTCCCTCTATCTCTAGTCACACTTTCCCCCACTTAAATTTGGATAATCACAGTGACCTGAGAATCAAAAGGCAACAGAGAATATCATTCTGTTCTGTCCTTCATAATCCAAGGTCAACGGTCATGAATACCAAGAAATTTCTTCTAACCTAGTTGATGTTGGAGAAGAAAGGGCTAATTTTCTGGGTGCTAATGTCAAAGTGAATATTTCATCTTCAGCAATATTTGCCTCCATGCCTTACCTGTGAAAGAGTTATGCGTTGCTATTTCTCTAGTTTGTATTTGTAGAGTCATTTTTAATGATGTACTTCTTGTAAATATCAATATTCAGTGATCACATTATGGCAGGTACTGCCAGTGCTTCTCCTCCCGCTTTCCATAGGCTTTCCCTTTGTTCATAGGAATAACAATTTTAGCTCAGCACACGCCAGCTCAGGAAAACGACTACCCTCGGCTACAAGGTGTTGGCCGCATTACTAAGTCCTGGCCTGTGGGATGTAAGCAGAAGTGTCACTGGGAGCTTCATTGATCTTTTTTTTCTTTTCCTGCTGGCAGGAATTTGGGTATTATAGATGGACATGGAGCAGTCTTCTTGAGCCATTATATGACCTTGGATATAAGGGCTCTGGAAAATGGAACAACAAGAAGGAAAAAGCCTGGGTGTCCAATGCCACAGAGTACAATTCTAGCACAGGACCACCCATCTCAAGATTTGTTGGTGAAAGATGAATTTCTGTACTATTTAAGCCACTATCATTTTGGATTTTTGTCACTCTCAGATGTGCCTAATCATAAATAAACAGCACACATAACTGACATTAAAGCTTCTCGGGCAATACCATATTTCACTGAACCCA